CTTTACATGCTTCAATTGCTGTAATATACTCAGCCTATGTAGTTGACAAAGCAACACACTTCTACAACTTAGATTGCCAAATATAGCTCCTCCTATAAAAGTAAACAAATACCCTGAAATAGATTTCCTACCATTAAGATCGCCTGCCATGTCAGTATCCATAAACCCTTCTAGAACTGGTTGTGAAACTTCATAAGTCAAGCACATTTTTGAGGTACCCCTCAAATATCTAAAAATCTATTTAACTGCTTTCCAGTGAACCTTTTCTGGATTAGAAAAAAATCTGTTCACTATACCAACTGCATGAGCAATGTCAGGCCTTATACAAATCATAAGATACATTAAAGAACCGACTGCAGAATAATAAGAAATACTAAACATAGGTAGTTGCTCTTCCTTAGACACTGGACAAGATTTCTTACTTAGATGAAAATGATTGGCAAGTGAACTACTAACTGATTTAGCATGTTGCATGTTGAATCTACCAAGCACTCGTTTAACATACTTTTTCTGTGACAACTACAGCTTTCCAACTTTCCTATCCCGGATAATGTCCATACCAAGAATTTACTTTCTTGAACCTAAATCCTTCATATAAAAAGACTTAGACAATTGTTCTTTCAACCTACAAACCATACTAACATCTTATCCTACAATCAACATATCATCAACATATAATAATAGGATAATGAAGTTACCATTAGGGAATTATTTAACATACACACAAGAATCTGCTGCTGTTCTTTTATAGCTAGAACTTACCATAAAAGAATCAAACTTCTTGTACCACTATCGTGGAGCTTGTTTCAAGTCATACAAGCTTTTCTTCAATTTACAAACTAAGTGCTATTTCCTTTTCACTTCAAAACTCTCAGGCTGATTCATATAAATATCCTCCTATAAATCACCATGCAAAAATACAGTTTTAACATCAAGTTACTCAAGCTCAAGATTCAAACTAGCTGCCAATCTCAGTACCACTTGAATAGAACTCATCTTTACAACTGAAGCAAAAATCTCATCAAAATTGATGCATGGTTTCTAAGAAAAACCTTTTACTACCAATCAAACTTTGTACCTCACTAGTTTGTCACCATCTTTTTTCAACTTGAACACCCATTTATTCTTTAATGGCTTCTTCCCTATTGAAAGTTTAACAAGATTATAAGTACCATTCTTTCACAATGACTTTATCTTTTTTTTCATTACTTTTAACCAGTACTCTCTATCTGGAGTAGCCTGTACATCTTAGAAGCTTTCTGACTCTCCTTCACTGATAACTAAAATAAAATCTGAACTTGGATACCTGGTAGATAGCCTGCGCTCTCTAGTAGATCTTTTGGGCTGAGACTCTACATCACTTGATGCCGAAGGTAGCTCTTCCTGCTCAACACTCTCAGGTAAAGATGATTGCTCTCCTTGCTCAAAACTAATAGCATCTGGCTCATCACCAACTGTGGCTGACTCATTCATATCTCGAAGTTTTGTTTCTTGCTCATTTCCACCATCTGTGGCTCTTTCCTGTGGAATCCCTGTCGGTGTTGAAACATCACACTCAATAGTAACCCGTGTAGTCTTCTTATTTTTTTCAAAGTCTGTTATGGTTTCTTTTTCATGAAAGATCATATCTCTACTTCTGACTGTCTTTCTCTTTACTGGATCCCATACCCTATAGCCAAATTCTTCATCACCATATCCTACAAACACACACTGTGTAGCTTTACTGTCAAGCTTTGATCTTTACTCTTTCGACACATGCATGAATGCTTTATACCCAAAAACTTTCAAGTGTGAGTATAAAGTATCTTTCCCTATCCACACTCTTTCTGAAATGTCAAAGCCTAAAGGAACTGATGGTGACCTGTTAAGTAAATAACAAGCTATATTGACTGCTTCACCCCAGAATGGCTTTGGTAATTTTACAATCCTCAATATACATCTGACTTTTTCCATAATGGTACGATTTATTCTTTCAGCTATACCATTATGCTGCGGTATTTCAGGTTCTGTCATCTCATGCCTAATCCCATGCTTTGAACAATACTCTTTAAAGCTTTTAGATGTGTATTTCCCACCATTATCAGTTCGAATACACTTCAAGGGTAACCCTGTCATCCTTTCAACCATGGCATAAAATTTTTAAAAATATTACAGTACCTGATTTTTATATTTCAACATATACACTCAAGTCTTACGTGAAGCATCATCAATAAAAGTAATAAAATATCTGCTATCACCTAATAACTCAACCTCAATGGGACCACATACGTCAGAATAAATTAATTTCAATCTATTTTCTTTTCTCTGAGAACTTTTACGAAAAGAAACTCTATGATGCTTACCAAACAAACAATAATCACATGAATCGAGAGACATATATTTGGTTAAGGGAATGAGAGACTGCCTTGCTAAAACCTGTAACCCTTTTTCACTCATGTGTGCCAGCTTCCTGTGCCATAAGTTTGCTGAAGCATTATTTTCAATGGTATTTACCTGGTTACCGTTCAATTGCATCAATGTCTTATACATTGTGCAGCATAATTTTTCCCTTACAACTACCATAGATCCTTTGAGAAGCTTTCATTATCTATTCTTTTATCAGCTTTCATATCCCTCCTTATCAAGGACATTAATAGCAAGCAAGTTCATTCTCATATTTGGAATGTGTCTGACATCCTTCAAAGTCAACATGCAGCCTATACTAGTTTGTATAACAATATCATCAATCCTAATAATTTATGACACACTCTTGTTTCCTATCTTGGTACAACCAAAGTCTCTTGCTTTGTAAGTTGTAAACAACTCTCTCTTAGGAACACAATGACATGCCGTTCCTGTGTCAACTATTCACTCAATGCCGGGATCACTAACATGATTACAATCACCATGTGTATAAATCAAAGTAACTGAATCACTATCTGAATTTATTGCTGTAATATTGCCATCATATGAACTCTTACCTTTCTCATCTTTTCGCTCTTGCTTCAAGATTTTACAGTTTCATTTTATATGACCCGCCTTACCACAATAGAAACACTTCACTTTATCTTTAGACTTGGATCTATGTTTAGACTTACCACGGCCTTTTGAGTCCTGACCTCTGTCGATATTTCTACCCCTGTTCTTTGTGACCAGAGCTTGATTCCCAGGGTCTACATTTTTTTACCTTACTTCTTCATTAAGCATACTATCCTTTACCATCTCCAATGTCACCTTATAATCAGGAGCTGAATTAAGAACAGTCACAACTAGAGTATTTCAGCTGTCTGGTAATGAACCCAAAAGAAATAACGCCTTTATTTCATCATCCATCTTAAGCTCCATAGTAGTCATTCGATTAAATATATCTTGAAAATCACTCAAGTGCTCTGTAACAGATCGTTCATCCCTGTACTGTAAAGTTACAAGCTTTTTAACAAGCATAACTTTATTCATACCTATTTTTCTCTCATACAATGTTGCCAAATTTTCTCAAACAATGTGAGCATCTGACTTCTGTGCTACATGATGGAACACGCTGATATCAACCCATTTTTTGATTGTAGCCAGCGTCTTTCTACCTAGCTTCTTCCAACTTTCATCTTTCATATCTGTTGGTTTAGCCGAATCACCCAATACTGGCTCATACAAATTTTTGCAATATAGATGATCCTCTATCATAAGCTTTCAAATTGAATAATTCGATGCTGTCAATTTTATCATGGAACTTGTATCACCCTCCATGATTTCAAATAGAATTTACTTTTATCCTGAGTTGCTTCTGTATCGATGTCTCAAAATAATCCTCGCTCTGATACCACTTGTTGCACCTAAAGCAATAATCACAACAATACAGAAACAATAGATAACAATCAATAATCAAATAACGTAAGAAAAATAAAGCACACCAAGATTTACGTGAAAAATCCTCCAGTGTAGAGGAAAAAAATCACGGACCACCAGAAAAATCTTCACTATCAAATAATAGGTATATAAAGTTCTTCTCTAGCTAAAACTAGAGCTAAACAGCAACTAGAGAAACAATTGAAGAAATCTCACTAAATAAGTGACTCAACAAATACACTATGAATTTGTTCCTAGAGAGCTTCATACCCGATCTTCACCGTTCAGAATGTAGAACTCTGAATCATAAACCTCCTGACAAGGTTTCAACTCAATCGAACTACGAATCGACTTCCGTTCAACCAACTCTCCCTTCTCCTTATTCTCTCTGTTTTTTTTGGCTTTTCTTCTTTCTCTACTTGGTTTTCGACACACACTTAAAATAATCTCACCTTTTTTTTTATTAAGTAGCTAGGGCTCTGTGTAAAATAAAAGATTAAGGCTCATGACCTTTACTTGGTCCAAAATCACTTACATGGTGTTGAACCCCATTTTCTTAACAATTACTCTATGACTCAAGTATGCGCCTCCGATCCAAGTATGCCTTCAGGTGAGAGAATTGAGATAAGAGAAGTTTCACACGAATCCACAATCGTTGTTTTAGTCAAAATCCATGCATATTTGTCATAGTTTCTGTTGAGCATTAATTTTGGCATAGTTTTCCATTATACTATTCTTGAATATATTTTGATCTGGTAAATAAGTTATGGGAAATGTAGCAATGAAGAAAAAGAAACTATGGAGTTTACATTCCGAACCATTACAAACAATAGAAAGTATGGAAGGAGCAAACTCATCGAGCTATGATTTTCTTCATTTTCAATGTGGAAGTAGCAAACCGAAAAAAATTCATGTTTTTAGGCGTGCTTGGATATTAGCTATAAGTTTATCTGCATTCTTATGGCATCAATCAAATGATGAAAACTTTGTGAAATAGACCAAAACGAACCCCAAGACAGTTTTACACCACTATTCAATAATAAATTATAGATAAATGAGTGTTGATTTAGTATTTTAAATATATATAAAAAAAATATGGAAGTAATAAATTTTAAAATTAGTCAAATCATGTAATGCATTCGATTCCCGCCTCATCTCAGGACTTGACACCCCCCAGTTTAAAAATAAAGTGAGTAACAAAGCCAAAAGTAGATACTATTTCATTGCGTCGGTAAGCAACACTACTAGGTTCTTTTCAAGGTGCTTTTCTTTTATGGTTTAAATGTAACTTACTATGGAAGTTAAGTCTCCAGGGGAACCACAAAAGCAGTACAAAGAATTGGGGTTTCAACTCTGAAGCCTAAAGTCATGAAGAAGCGTAAAGTCATGAATTCTGCAGAGAAGATTGGCAACAACCGAGATATGTTAACAGAAATCCTCCTCAGATTACCAACAAAGTCACTCATCAAATTCAAGTGTGTCTCAAAACAGTGGCTATCTCTCATTTCAAACCCTCAGTTCTGTCTCTCCCACACTCGCCACCACCAACACAATGGGTTTCTCGAGCCTACTGCTCTTCTGCTCAAAGTTAAGAACACAATATCCCCTGAATTTGATGTGGTTCCTTTGAAGCATTACAGTGAAGTCCCCTTCTTTCATTATGTTAATTCCCCTGACATCAACATGCTGCAATCTTGTAATGGGTTGTTTCTTTGCGAGACCCACGATGATGATGTTGATAATGTCTCCAGGTACTTCATCTGCAACCCAACCACTAAGAAATTCAAGATGCTATCTTTTCCTAGGAACCCACATGAAGATTGTGAGTTTTATGTTAGTTTGGCTTTTGATCCTCTCAAATCTCCTCATTACAAGATTATTGCTATTCGGAAAGTATCAAAAAACTCTTTTGAGTTTGAGATGGATATATATTTGTCAGAGACTGATTCTTGGACTGTATCCGGTATTAGTTTTGAAGTAGGCGATGATGGCAGCATAGCATTTAATGACGCCGTTTTCTGTAATGGAATCATTCATTGGAATAGTTATGGAGCCGAGTCACTGTATTTTGATGTAGGGCAGGACTGTTTGCAAAAAATGCCAATGCCAATGCCAACGCGAAACAATCTGCTTGAGATTTATAGATATTTTGGAGAGACCAGGGGCACTTTGTATCTAGCAGTAGTGATCCACCACGCGTTAATTGGTCTTGAATTAAATGTTTATGAGATGGAAAGTGACTATTCTCGTTGGTTCTTCAAGCATCGTCTGAACATTGGCGATGCCATGAAAATTTTTCCTGAGCTAAACTTGGGTTATCGTGGGGTTTCTCTTGGACTCTCTGCTGTGTGTTTTATTCGATCTGAGAAAGAAGAAGAGCCAAAGGTTGTCGCATGGGCAGATGGTAAAATCATTTTCTATGATTTCAATGATGGGGCGTGGAAAAAGCATTATGATCCAGGGCCTGGAATCAAAATTGGCACACGTTTTTCACACGTTTTTTCTCATTTACATGAACAAAGATTTCTTGCTTATAAATACTTTGAGAACCTCTCTTGTATTTGAGGGTCTAACTTCTGCAAATACCGATATTCTCCAATCTTATTTTTGATGAGTAGTTGAGAAACTATTTCAATTTTACTCACCAGATGATGTCTAGCGATTTACCTCTTCAGTTTTCTTTAGTACAGCAAATCTTATGACATAAGAGTTCTTGTTAATTGATTAATTTGCTCTTCAGTTTTTATTAGCACAGCAAATCTTATGACATAAATGTAGACACCCGTTAAAGCCTAGAACTGGCCTCACATTAAAATTGCATGGGCTATGTCATAAAGTTTTAACTCAATTTTGGGTTTTATTATTATTTTTATTATTATTATTATTATGGATAAAATAAGATGAAAGAAAAGATCGAAAAAAAAAGAGAACAATGAAAATCGAAAGAGAGACATTAATAGATAAGAGTGTTTTAAAATTTGGAGATGGGATTAAGTTTTGAAATCTCCTTGCATTTTTTTGAAATCAAATTTCGGATTAAACAGGGTAAAGTTTTCAGTTTTCAATTTTGGAATCCCAATCTTCACTGAGGGAGATTTTATATAAATTGTTACTTACATATTGAAGAAAAAAGGGAACGATATTCACAGAAAGAGCAGCAGCGTTGAACCATAGAGTTTCAAAATTCTTTATGATATTTTTGGTTTCCGTGAGTAGTTTTAGATGTATTTTGGTTTAATTCAAGTAAAATCAAGGGAGGAAACACGTTTGGGGCAATTGCATTTTCAATACATTCAGGATAAATAAAACTTATAGATATTTGTCCTTACATAGGACAATCTAGGCAGAATTAGACAGTTATTTTGGAAGACAATGTTGGACACCACTACCACCATTGTTCTTTTCTTTTATTTTTTAATTTTTTCTTTGAAACCTTAGACGATAATGGAATAATCGAATATGAAACCAGCTACTCTTACCATTTATAAGCAGCTCAATGGGTTGTGTATCCCTTCTTTTTGCCCATTTTTATATTTAAAATCTATTATTTTGGTGAAATAATAATGGTTATTCCTTCATTAATAACTTAATTTAAAGAATGTAAGAACATTTGCACATGTCTATGAATCACCCTCACCCAATTCTACCATTATCAAAAGGTAGAGACTAATTTATCTTTAGATGCTTGGTATTTTTATTTAATTAATCTTTATTTATATTCTTCTGTGGTTGTGATTGTTGATTTCTTTGTTTTATCAGGTTGATTAGGTTATTTTTCATTTAAAAATGGTATTACTAATTTTATTTAATTAATCAGGTCAAATAGGTTGCATAACTGAAATGTGTCTAGCGGATTTAGCTGAGTTAATTGTGATAGGTTATTTCAAGAAGGTGACAATGAATTGTTCTGATAGGAATAATGTTGTTGGGATCAACATGTGAGATTGCTTGTTGCTTTGTAAAAATAGATTGATTATGTACATCTTATACTCTTAGTTGTTTGATCTTCATATGACTGATATCGATCTATGCGATGATGAACATTCTTTTTATTGATGATGGTCTCAATTCTTTGTAGATTCATCTTCGTTAGAGCCACTGTGATGGGATTGCTACTTACATTTTAGAAGTACACTAAAATGTAATCTTTTGATAGTGCTAAGAAGTCACTTTTACAATGAATTTAACAGTCACACTAGAGATGGAAACAAGAGTCTCCTTAGGGTTTTCTCTATGGGAGGAGTAGAGCCCTAGGGTCTCTGAGTTCATTAGTTTCTTAGTCTTAGTACGTTAATAGTTTTCAGTGACAACAACCTCCAAGGAGTAGATTGGAAGCAGATTCGAGAGACAAAAAGTGATCTTGGTATGATGGCAGAGAACTTAGAGGAGGTGTGTAAAGTTTCCCAACAAAACCTGATTCCATGAAACCTCGCGACCCTCCTCTTTGATCGAATGCATGTTTCTGTTGTGAATTATATCAGCGTGTGTGTGGCATCCATGAATAAGAACTCAGAAAAATGGCCAAAAAGAACTCTCAACTCTCAAGGTATAAATTAATATACATATAATCCCTTGATAATAATATACAAACTGATCACTACAATATAAATAATGTATCTAACAAAAAGAATCTCCTATTCTTTTACACTATGCTACGAGTGAAGTTGATTAACCTTATCGAGCTCCTTTCAGAAAAACTCCAAGACACCGATGATACTATATATTCATATAAACCTGAAAATGTTAAAATAAGCAATCGAGCTGCTATGCCCAGTGATACAAATTTCTTGAAGGCTTCCAGTCCTTTGTAGATTATTCCTTCATTCTATTTCTACATGAATTAAGATGTACCAAGATGTTTGATATCTCATCAACAGCAAGAATTAATCATTGATAATTAAGAAAAAAACTTATAAAAGAAACCTTGGATATTCAGGTAAGCCATAATTTCCCGTCCTTGAAACTTTGTTGAGTTCTTTGTTTGCATCTGTCGTTAATTAATTAGACTCTCCTTTTCACTAGCAATCATATTAGACTTTCGGGTTTCTCCTTTTCAAAATTTCATGCATAATAAAAATAATAATTAACACATCAAAGTGATGATCAATTTTCTCCCCCAATTTGCATTTAAGAAAATTGGTATCTGTATTTCTTTTTTGTGTTTAAAATTGTTAAGATTTAAAATTTTGATAACTGAAATTAAAATTACTCCGACTTTTTATTAACAGATCAAGTCCGTCAACCATGTTACTTGTGCTCAACTCAAATGACAATCATAGGGTGAAGTTTCAATAAATTTCTTATGATCAAATATTAATAACACTTTCACTTGAATAAAAAGAATAATTAACCAAAGACGACGGTCATCCGGTAAAACTAATCTTTCATTAAGGACCGGAGTTGTATGTTCGTCGTAAAAAAAAATAGATATTATGAGAATTAATCGCCTAACTTAACACAGCATCAAAAGTTTTGAGTCGTATTCTTAGAATCGATTTTTCCTTTAAAGCCACAAAAAAATTCGATACGATGAAAAAGAAAAAAATCTTAACCTAAAATTAGATGTTGTGATTATGCTCATTTATGGTGACCTTCACTTTCTAATTATAGCACCGCATATTTTGGCATGCGGCATAACCGAAAAATCCCAAAATTTAAATGATAAATGGTAAAAGAAAGGCGACAAGATATCTTATGTAATAATGTATAACTCTTTATACTTTTCTAAGGCCACAAATTCAACGTTTTTCATTCAATTCAAGGAGGACTTTGCAATGCACGTTTTTCTCGCAAAATTGATTGGTACCAAGAAAATGCTATGCAAAAGTTTGGGTTTAGGCTTTTCCTAGATTGAGAACAAACCAAACCTATATTAAGTGACCAGCAAATTAAAATCACTGTTCAATTTCAATAAAAAAAAGACATGCCCACTTCAAGGAAAAGTTCAAGGTCAAGTTCTATAAATTTGAAAAAAAAAAAATGTTGGGTGCTTTGAATTGAAAAGTGATGATATTGATTCTCACTTCTTAATTTATAATTACAAGATTTGTGGTTTCTAGATGCAAAGTACAAATTTTATTATATTTTTGTAGTTAAAATAAAATTGTGAGAATTAATAACTTAATAAAAAAACAAAAATTTTTTAAATATTATATACAATCAATAAAATTCGAAATTTAATTAAAATTAATTTATATAATTATTTTTAAAAAATAATATTTAATAATTTTAAAAATTAAATTTTAACACTTATAATTTTAATCATTATATTAGATTGCAGCTTTTTTTTTAAATAAAAAATTCAATCAATTACTAATTCTAACATCATGGATGAGATAACAGTTAATTCAAAATTGACTGAGATAAGCAAATTTACACATGAGGCCTGAAGCTTTATCCTTTGAGGTGGATGACTGATTTCGCTATCTATATAAGCCAGCTAAACCTCATCATTTCTTCAAAGCTCAATTGTATCTAGAAGATGACTTATTAATACTTGTAGATGACTGCAAAAGAAAAAATTTATTACTCCTTTCGTCCTTCTACAAGCATTAATAAATTTAAATTTTATAAAATTAAAATTTCATAATTTTTAATGTAAAAAATATATATTTTAAAATATAAAAAATAAAAATTTTAAATGTTTAAAATAAAAAAATAATTTTAAAACATTCTAAAAAAAAAAAAAACAATGGAAATGAGATAAGAATACTGGCAATTATGATTTTGACAAGTCAATATTTATCCAACACCAAGCTCATCAATTTGCCCTTCACCAAGAAACAAATGTTTGAAATTACCAATTAGGCCTTTAAATTATTGAATATATGGCAATTTTTTCTTCACATTCATGTTCTGGAAGGAATAAAATCAATGTGGCACTGTTTCATCTTCTCTGTAAAAGTCAGACAACACCGAAGAATCAAGTGGAAGCTTCTATTAGTATTTTTTTTTTTTATTTTGTTTCCTTTTCCAACCCATGAACTTGACTAAGTTGGTTTGGATTTGGTCTTGTTGGCAGGCTCCTCTATAAGTCCTGTGGTTCTGTCTCTTTTCGGTTTGCATCAAACCAAACTCTAAACTCAAAACCCTGAAATTCTCCAAAAACCAAGTTTTTAGATGTTTTATCCATTTTTTTGTGGAGCTTTCCATCAGCAAGAAGAAGAAGAAGATGATGAATTCTGGATCAGCCCTGTGTCTACACCAAGAAAATCAAGAAGAAAAAAGGATAGCAAGAACCCATATTCAACACGCGGACTTGACCAGTTTTCTGCACTTTTAGCTGAACTTGAAGAGAAGAGGCAACAGATTTACTCACAAATGGGATCACAAAGTATAGTTCGATTTGTTTACAAGAACTCAAATGATTGCGTCCCCATTGTGGTAAAGCTGAAGGATAAGAAAGAAGAGAAAAACAAACCAGAAAATACCAAAGATCATCAGCCTGAAAGGTATGTTTCTGAAGCTGGGGATAAGCTGCCAACCTCATCAGAATCTGATAAAAAGATTGAGAAAAAGAAGAAGAAGAAGAAGAAGAGCTTTTCATGGAATGTTCAGTTACAGAATCTGAGAAGGCCTTCTTATTACATCCCAGCAGTTATAATCTTGATCTTGTTGTTCCTGGTATTTTTTGGAAGGTCAGTTGCAATATTATGTACTTGTATTGGATGGTACATAGTTCCTACAATAAGTGGGGAAGGTTCAAATTTGAGAACATCAATGAAGAAGAAAGATTATGTGAGAAAGTTTAGTGGAAACAAATTGGTAAGTGGGAAATTATCTTCTTCCATGAGTAATAAATTTGGAGCTATCAAAGACAAGTTCCCAGCAGAGCATATGATGACAGGAAAGGCTGAAGGATAACTTCTGATCTGTTTTCTTTCTGATATAATTGTGTTTTTCACTTTTTCTTTTTCTTTTTTTTTTTTTGTTTTCGTTTTTGTTTTTTTTTATGTAAATCAGAGTCTGTCTGTATTATATGAGTTGAGTTAGTGCCGTTGAGAGCAATCTGATTTAAGTTGCCTTGTAATTGTAAAGAGTAACATTTTCTGATGAAAACTTGACTGGGATTTAATCCAAATTTTGATTTTAATGGCATTAAAGAAAACGTCTTGCTAAAGGATGCACTGCATCTAGGTCTGAAGATTCTTGCATGAATATGTAGATGGATGCAACGAAATGATTCTTGCTAATGACTCATAATTGAGATTTTTCGAGAACTAGTTGAGAAAATTTCAAAATTAAAAAAGGCTTTTAGGCTAACTTGGATACCCAAACAGTCCAAGTTAGTTGGGCATCTAATGAGGACAATGAAAAATACTAGTAACTTAATTAATTCATATAATTATCCTCAAGCAGTTGCATTAAGCAATCACATTCAACAGATTTAGGTTTAAATTTCAATACTTATAAATTTTATTTTTTTTTATCTTCACACTATGATCTCCTTTGTATAAAAAAATGTTTGTTTCTTATCATATTACTAAGATCTGAATAACAAGTATGGCTGTTTCAACATATTTATTTATTTATTTATTTATTTTGGTCCTTGAGCTGTTAAAGGATTTGAATTTAATCATTGAAACTAAAAGTCTAACATTCTACCGTTCAGCCAACATTTTGATATCAAGGACCACTGATTTGCGTTAAAACTATGGAAGGAAAGTGCTATTTGTACATACGGATGGTAATGGTTACTTTAGGAATGAGTATCCAACATTCTCCTACTTGATTAATTTTAACCAATGCCAAACGGAACTGAACCAAATTGAAAACCCACCAACTTGTTAAACCCTTGGTTTGGGTTAAGTCATGGGTTTACACCTTGGGAACAATGGAACATGTTAACTTCTTAAACCCTCATCTATTAAAACAAAGAGAGAGAGAAAAAAAAAAGGAAAATAGATTATCCACCTTGGTGATATGGGTGACTTCACCTGACACTGCAGAGAGTTCATCAGCAACCATAATCCTTAAATTTGGCTGCCTGATTTTTTTTATTTTTTTATTTATGTTCTGATTCTTAATCTCATTTTGAATATAAAGAAACAAATGTCTTGAATCTTACGAGTGTCATCTTCTACTAACATAAAATTTTCTTGTATTGATAGATTGCAAGCATTTCAAAAGTGGTGAATTGGTTCATCATTTTCACTATAATGGTAAGAGGAAAGGGCCTTGGTGAAATAGCAGGAAGAGTGCCTATGAACAAATAAATCATTCAATAGAGTAGGAAATCATTGGGCTGCTACCATAACTTAAAGAAAATGCTAATGAATGACTTCGCCTATACTCAACAAGGCATTATATAATAACAAGTATGGACCAGCTATAAATGTCTTCAGACAGTTGATATGAACAATCATTATCCTTAGCTAAAGGGAGGTCGTGCACTACTTTGAGGATGATGCTTATTTTTCTTTTTTTCCATTATCTCCAACAACAATAAATTGAGCTCAGAGAAACACCAAAAAGCGGGGCAGTTAGTCCCACAGAAGACAGCCATGGCTGTAAGAACCAAGCAATCAACTGTTTGTACAATATAATGATGTGGCCTAACTTAATTTGAGATGCATAATCCAAAGCCTAATGTATGAGTTTCATTGCAAATTGCAGATGAAGTCATAAGTAAAATTCAATGCCAAGGAATGCGTACCTTTGAACCAGAGCTGTTTGGATTAATGATCTTCTTAGAACGTGGCTCTCTTCGTACTTGTATCTGAGATAGCAACATTATGAAGTATCAGTTACTTGCTTGGACCATTCCTAAGCTATTTGAAGCATAGCTTTCAATCTAAGAAGTTCTAACTAAACCGACCTGCCTGCCAACTTCATCCGAAGCAAACTCAACAATGGTTTCTGCATCTTTGAACCGCAGCTCTACAGTTAAGTATCTTGTACATTTGCCAACCTCTGGGGATTCAATTGCAATGACTTGCTTAAAGCCTGGCAATGTGCAGTTACAGCTTCATCAAGGAAGCCTGTCTTCTTTGTTGAATTTGGCAGCAACTCTAATGCTTTGTGAAAAGTCCCCTGCAACTTGCAATCCTCAGCAATACCCTGAGGCATATCACTAGGTAGTGCTGCTTCAACCATAAAATCTTATGACACTCCTTATGGACTCTGATGAATATAAAGGAGTCAAACATTTTATTGGTAATATCAGAGACATCTATCCAATGAAAAAATGAGAAATTTGAACGAACCAAGACTTCTAGAATCATCGATACCCAGTCTTCTTTAGTCAAACAAGTTAAACAACATACTTGAAAGCCAAGTCATCTCAGTCTACCAATATACTTAAGGACATAGTAGCACAACTGAGAAATCTGATGTAGACTAGCTATAAACTTTAAGCTGAAAATTATTTCTTGTCAATATTGTGTGAAGGCATTATGGAAATACCTCCAAAATGCCCTACTCCCTTCATTGAGTTTGGTTCCAAAGAGACTGCTTCAAGAAGTTCATTGAATGCATCATCATCACATTCTTTCTTTTTTCTATTACAAGTAAAAGGACAGAAAGCCAATATCAATGTCACACTGGGAGGAATGATATCATCCTTAGAGGTTTGTTTCTTAGCTCAGTTCTCTTAACAATAGTCTTGTTCATTTCTGGTGTCATGCCTTGAATGGTCCATGACCAGTTAAACAAACAGCCAGCTATGTAACAACTATCAAGCTATCTATTCAGTCCAAAAGATGAAATTTTAGTTTCAAATGGTTCAATCGAGACTAACAAAAACCTTGGTGAATGGATTGGCATGCATTAAAAAAACATAGAATGGATCAAGATAAATATGATGATTGGATTACTGAAATGATGATACTAAAAGGTCAAACCAGGACCGTCTCATCAGATTTGAAGGAGGCCATTTTAACCCAAGAACCTGGCAAGGGAGATAAGCAATAAAGAAGACAAAACTGCAGCAACTGAAACATACCCAAGTTTTGCCAACAACAATGATGTATAAACAGCTTGTGAATCTACTCTGAGTTAAAGTGAAACAGAAATTACAAGAAATCAAAAATTATTGCTGCTTATTTCAGATGGCCATATGTTGTTTTATCATTCTTCCTCTATCCTCTTTAAGACTCTTCCTTCAAACCACACTCCAAAACTTTATCTTGCTTTCTACAAACCTTTTATATGTCCTAGAAAAAGCACAAAGAGTAATCAGGATCCTCAATCATAAAAAGTGTTATTTCTTGCAATTAATTCATTAATTTCTCTTGAAGACACTAAGCTTTTGAAAAAAAAGTATCAATCTCACAAAAGCATAAAAGATAAGAGCCAATGAACTAGGTTAGATATTCTGTCAAAAATGCAATTATTCTATGCAAAAGCATGAGTTATGCCTTCAGAACATGCATATACATCCAACCATGAGTTATATTATTTTATGTATCCCCATCAAATGAATTGTTAAATGAAGGAAACAAGATCAGTTCTAAATTTTATAGAAGACCCAAAAGGGTGGTAAAATTACATTTCAATTACCAGATTGTCTTGAAGTTGCTGCACTATTGAATTAGAACTCAAATCAGGAGAAATTTACACAAGCACAATGGAATGAGAGTGCACGCAAAACTAATTTCCATTGGGTATAAAGATCACCTTTCCTACAAAATCATCAGTATCCTTTGGAACAAATAATATCCCACCTTCTTTCTCTTCTTCTCGTTGTCACATAACAGAAATGAGCTGGCTAAAACATCATTAAATTTGTTGCCGTCCCAACAACAAAAGGTTCCATTAACAATCGAGTCAAGAAGTAAAAAACGACACCCAATGTAATGGATATTGGGAGGGCAGGCAGTGCTCGGCGGCACACAGATAACAAAATAAGAGTGCACCCAAGTCCTGAGATAATGGCAAGATAACATGCATATACAGTCATTAGATCATACATGGCTGCCCTGCCTACCAGAACACTATAAAACACAAAGTCTCCAAGACCAAGCTTGATACCTCTACTTGCTGCCACTGAATCCCCCATACCATCACTCCTTACCTGCTCTCTCTCATTGTCTATCCCCAATAAGTCAACAAGAGGAGACATTTCCTCATCCACAACAATCTCAGATTCTCTATTGCGAACAACAGTAGAATATTCTGATGAGTTACCATCTGATAAATACCTTTCGCTGGAATGACCAACCAATGGCAACCTCTCACCTTCATCCCTATTTCTTTCACCTTCCACATTTTCCAATCTTCTAACCTGGATAGCAGCATGCTCAGGACTCCTATGATTTTCACTTCCATCTCTATGGACATTATTATTTGACACCGCCTGCAACTCAACTGACCCAGAATCTGAAACTCCACCAACAAGAAGCCCCAAACTTGACGGCTGATTTCCCTCATTGCAAGAAATTGTTGGCCGAGCTTCATATATCAAAGCTGGTAATTCCTCATCTCTGCTTGAGGCCAACTCCACCAACAACTTAAGGGGGCCACCAGGAGCCAAAACTGCCACTAGATCATACAAAGCCAATGCAACCAGCAAAACCCATGTAGTCCACTCAGGCAATTTGGTAAACCATGCTGCCACGATTATCCCCAGCGATACCATATACCCTTGCCTCAAAACAATCGGCATCCCACCAGAAAACATGGATAACACCCCAACAATGGTAAAATTGAAAAGCAGCAGGAAGCAAGTAATTGAGTCAATTGGTATTGAGAAATGTTGAATTATTGACAAAAAGATTGAACCACCCATTGTACCTAACACCAAGGACAACAATTCCACCTTCTAAAAATCAAAATGCATAAACAATAACATGTGACTAAGAGGATAACACCAAAAGGAAAAAAAAAAAGGCACCCTTGTCAATTCAATCAACAGGCAACAACAACAAAATATTTAGATAAACTGCTATTGATATATGCTGGAATACCCCAAAAATTCTATGAATTGCTACAACATATAACATGAAAACGAAAGGTGAAAAGGTGGGGCAAACAACCATAATAACATAAATAAAATGTTTTGCTAACAAGTCACGCTAAGTTAAGAAATATTTTGAAATCAAATGCTTTAATTGACAGTTAATGTGAAGATTTCAAATGCAATGGAAGAAGTTATTGTTTAAAACAGAAATCCTAAGAAGTACCTTTAAGGCACTCATTAGCAAAAGCCTAACTAAAAAGATATGGAAAAATAGAATGGGAATCAATTTTTTCCAGATAATATGAATAAACTAAAACCCATAATCAATGAAAAAAAAATCTTTCAACACCAAATAATCAAGCAGAAACCAAAGCCAAATGACTAAAACACATAATTAATTACGAAAGAAAAACTTCTGGAGCAAAATTAGCATAAATAACTCAAGACCCACATTCCTAAACACGTAGTTAAGTCAAAGAAACAGCTTCTAACACCAAATATTCAGAAATAAACCAAAACCCATTTTACGAACAGAGAAAATTAAGCCAAAAATTACCATCTTACCGAGCACAAAAAAAGCCGAGAATCGCATGTAATTCTTCAAAAAATTAGTGAAGTTATAGTAATAAAGCAGCACAAGAACAAACGTAACGATAGCGATGAGGATAACGAAGACCAAGGCATTAAGCAAGGCTCCCTCCAGCTTCTCAGCAGCGGTGTCAGATGGGTTTTCGAGGTAAACGAGATTGGCGGCTGTACGGATGGGAGTGGAAGAGGAAGAAGAGAAGGGATTGGAAGGTGAGAGGGAGTAAACGAGAAGAACTACTAAGAGCATGCAAAGAGAGACTGGGGACATCACGCCGATGATTTCTTGGCCGATCGATTCTAAGATGCTCGACTCCATTGGGGATTTTGACTGGGGATTTTTGTCAAGCAGGTAGTGGGATTTCCCTTTTTTTGTTTTTTTAATTAAAGGCGTTAAGTCATTTCGAAGAGGGTTTCAAACTTTCAATGACTGAATGAGGTTTGAGAGTCGTTGCTTTTTTGCCTTTAACTCCTTCGGTTGAGCAGAGCCTAGGGCCATGGCTAGAATTGATCGCGGTGAGGTGGGGTGAGTAAGGAGAATTGATCGAGGGACGGTGAGGTGGGGTGAGTAAGGATGTAAATAATATATTAATGTTCGTAAATTATTTGGATTTGATTATTATCGAATTAAGTTTGAGTTTGAATAGTTTGATTTTTTGATTAAATTGAATTTAAGTATTTTTATATTTATGTTCGAATAATTCATTAATTTAATAGAATTTTTATATTTAAATATATTTTTATTATTTTAATTAATAAAATATCTAGAATTCACATTTAAATTTGAGCATAAATAATTAATTTTTTGTAGAATATAAAAATCGAATTTATTTTTACATATTAATCGAATTTAATTAAGTAAGTTTGAGTAGTTCGATTTTATCTCGAGTCGAGCTCGAGCAAAAAAAAAAATTCAAAGAGTTGAAATCGAGTTTCGAGCCTCGAATTTCAAATTAAATTTAAACTCAAACTTAATACTATATCGATTCAAACTCGATCAATTACATCCCTAACAATGATAATTCGGTTTTAATCAAATTAATAAACTAAATTGATTTAATTTTGTTAATAGATCAATCATTAAATTAATTTTAATTAATTTTGATTGATTATCAATAATTCTTAAAAAAATTATTTTTTATTAATTTATTAGAAAATTAAATTAATCTAATTAATTGAAATTTTAATCATATATATTAAAAAATTAATATATAAAATTTAAAATATATGAAGTTATCTATTTTATTATAAGTTACTAGTTTTTTTTTACCCATGCCATGCACGAAATTTTTATTATATTTTTTATAATTTAAAATTTTAATTTATATTAATTTTTATATTATATATAGATAAATAAAAATAATCATAATCATTTATAATTTAGAGTTTAAAATTAAAAATTTGTATATATATTTATTATTATGAATGAATTTAAATAAGTATTATGAAAGTAAAATTATATACAAATATCAATGAAAAAATTAATCTCTTATTCACAATTACATAAAATTTTAAAAGTATATATTATTTTTTTATAAATTAAAATTTACATTTAATATATCATAAAAGATTTTTTCATATTTAATTTTAAAACTTTATCTTGTCATAATTTTATGACAAAAAAAAATATTGATTGTGAGAAAAAAATCATAAATATATATTTGATAATTATTTAATTTAAAAAAATTTTAAATTTTTTTAAATTTAGTTTATTCAAGTTTAATTTTAAATTAAGATAAAAAAAGTTAGTATAATTTTAAATTTAGATATGTGTGTAATTTTAAATTGAGATAAATTATTTTTTCATTTTAAATTATAAAAAAATAAAGACAAAAAATTAATAAATAACAGCGGTTCAACTACAAATTTTATTTATTTAAATTTATATAAATATTAATTTAAAAGATGTATAATTTTTTATAATTCATAAAATTTAGAGATTTGACTTTTAAAAACTATTTGAATTAGGTAAGAGTGAAATATGAGAATATATATTTTAGTAGATTTAAAGTAAGATAAATCTTATTTATTTTGAAAGACTTTGATAAATGTAAAATTTGAAACTTTAAAATTTTTAAAAATTAAATAATTGATTGAATAAAGTTATTTAAAAATATTTTACGTGGCAATAATATAAGTTGTCCACCTAAGCATCCACATAAATAAATCTTATCAGATTTTTATGTATGTTGTAATATAATATTATATATGATTAGAGTTTTTAATTTAATATTTTGATATTTAAATATTTTTATTAAATAATTTTATTTAATTTGTTTCGAGAAAATAATAATTTAAAATATAATTTAACTTAATATATTTTATTATCCGATTAATTGAAAAAATTAAATGAACTGTTTAAATTAATTTTGGTTGATTAATTTTTGAAATTAATAAATTTAATTTGATTAATAAAAATAAAATAATATAATTCTATTAATTAAATTTTAGATAATTTAATTTAAAATTAATCGAATTAACCAAATGAATACTTTTAAAAGTTGAATTCAAGTTGTTTTAGATGTTAATAATTTATATTTTTATTTAAATTCGGTTGGATATGTAAATAAATAAATTTAAAATTTATTCATTTAATTTAATTTATATAATAAAACTAAAAATATTTTTTTAAAATAAAAATTTATATACATATTTATATAATTATAATAATTAATTATATTTATATTATTCTAATCGAGTCAGATTAATTTCAAATTTCAAATTTTATGTTAAAAGTTCAATTTAAAATTTAAATAATTTTAAAATTTGCATTTAAATTCATTCAATAAATCTTAATTTTTCATTTAAACTTTTAAAAATTTAAATAAATCCTGGAATGTCAATAAATCAAGATATGATGGATTTTTGGTCATTTGAATCCGATCAAATCCAACTAAATTTAATACTTGAACCAATATTAAAATATTATTTTTAATATTTGAATTTGATCGATTTGGATATGTTTAAATTTGTTATCAACTTAATCCAAAATTAATAATATATTATTTTTTAATATAAAATATTATTTAATATAAAAATAAAATTAAATATATAATACAAAGTACATATATAAAATCGGATTGAGACAGATTTATATAAAATCCAATTCAATTTTTTTAAAAATATTCGATGTGATTCAAAATCTGATTTTAAAACAAAATAAATTTTATAAAATTGGATCGAAACTTTGATGGATACGAGTTGGAAGGAGAATCTTAATATGCACCGGCCCATGATCTTCTGGAACCGACCCTAGCAACCGTTTTATAAAACTGGAACTTTACCATTTAAAAAATCAATCAGAAATTAAAAAATAGAAAAAAAAAATGAGTCGGAAGAAGTACGAACTACCAGACGAGCTATGGAGAAACATACTAGAAATCGGAATCAAAGTATCAAATTTTACCTACAAGGATCTTTGTTGCGTTTCAATCAGCTGCAGACGCCTCCACCGTTTATCCAATGAGGCCCCACTCTGGTCCCACTTGCTCTCCGTTGATTTCGCCAATCAAATCTCATCACTTCCATCATCTTCCTCCCCAAAATCCTTTTACAAGATCAGGTGAGTTCGAAATAAAATTGAATTTTGTTCTAAATTAAACTTTGAAATTTTATTTTATTTTATTGTTTTTGGTAGGTTTGAGAGGGAAAGAGAGCGGAAGTTATTGGCTCATAAAAGGACGGTGTTGAGGAAAGAGAGTCAAGTTTCGGAACATGTAAGGAAACTTCGAGAATTTGAGGTTCGATTACATGAAGAAACACAGAAATTGAAGTCCGCTGTTTCGGAATTGTCTAATTTACATAAGGTCAGGTAATAATTTCATTTTTTAAAGAATTTTTTGCCCTTTTTTATGTTTTATTTTGGGTTTTGGAACTTCTGTCTTGTTGCTCAGAAGAAAAGATTAAAGTAGAAATATTTAAATGAATTCATCTAAGTTTTTTTATATACATAATTCTAAATTTTGTTTAATGTTTTAATTTTTCAGTTTAAAACCAAACTGAATATACCTGTGTTATTGGCATTAGACATTAGTGATAAAAGGATTTGAGCAGGTAAGAATGTTGGAAATTACTAGTAATATGTTATCCTGTTGATTGTCGAACTGGGTAATTTTGGTTTGTAATAATATATGAGAATGAATCTAATTTTGGGTTGAAAACTGGGAGACATTTAGCATGCATGTCATGATTTTTTTTACATAGATTTTTTCCTTGTGAGTGCTCATGGATTCAATCTTTGGGGGAATGTTAGCTGTTTCAGTCAAGCGGTGGTGGCTTTGAATGTATGGCAGCCCGAGGTTGTGCGGGGTAGGCAAAAACAAATGGTTGAGCAATGTGTTGTTCCAGTTGAATCTAGAGTCCGTGCTCTAGAGATGGAAGTTAAGCTTTGCAACCAACAACTAAAAGTGTTTGATAAGGCCTATGTAAGTATTGATTTCTAATGGGGTACTAACATCTCTAATTAATAACGTCGGTGCATAATTGTGCATAATGTTTGTTATGTTTTTGGTGTTTTAATGGCAGAGAGACGAGAAGCGAAGGCTTGATACAGCTAAGGAAGAGTTGCTATCCTTGAAGTATCACCCTTTACGAGATTATAAGCTGACAAGCAATGAAGGCAGTGAGAATAAGAAAAAGAGGAAGAAGTTGAAAACATGCATGGACTGTAAGATTCTAGTTTATTCCCGCACCTAATAAAGCATCCACACTTTTCTGGGAATAAATTGAATGTTCTAGGCATATAACTTTGGCATATTTTCTCTGCTTTATCTTTTTTGCTTCTCATTTTAGAACTCCTTATTTCTGTTGCCCTCCTGTGTAATGAGATACACATTTCTTATATTTTAGGGATAAGATCCATATTTACCACTCTACTTAGGGTGATGGATGGATTCTTTTTTTGTTGCCTTTGGTTATAATATGTTTATAATATTGTTAGCAATCCTTGGTAATTATCTTTTTTGCTCTTCCTGCTCCTAGTTAGTTTAGGAATGAGGGGGGCGAAAAAATCCTTTCACACTAAGCTCCATCTATTCTCTTATAAGGCGTGTAATGTTGGTAATGGTTTACTTAGACTACAATGTGTTAAGTCATTTAAATAAAGTAGTCCAAAGTAGAATGGTAACATCAGTTCTTCCTGTTTTTTGATATCCATTTAGCATAACCCATATGGCAGCCTCTGCATTTTATCAGATTAAAATCATAAGTGTCTTCCATTTGATTTAAGAAGCTAGAAGACTTCCTTTTTAAAATGAATTTAGGTCTTGCAGATGCTTGGTTAGAATACAAGTATACGACAATTACTTTCCTCTCAGAAAGAAATTAAACGGAGAAGAAGGGGGGGGGTGGTTGATACATGATAGTTTCTGGTTTCCTTGTGGTATTCAAAATACGTGTTTTAAGGATTTTGCGATACCTATGAAACAGAGCATCCATCACCTGTTCTGATAATTCTAAGTTCTAACTAGGTTCAAAGAAGAATAGCAATAAAAAGTTGTCCAGAATTGTTTGTCAACAGCATGTGATCACCATTAGCTTTTATGAAAAATAAAGTGGCTGGGGCAACTGGTGACTTGCAAATGGGTATCCAGTATCCAGTGGCACCATATGTAAAATCAAGTCCTGCTGTTTTAGGAAATCCCTTAAGGATCTTTCTCCTACAATTGAAAGTTAATGGACTCTGCTTGTGTGTCAGGATTCTATTTTAAAATGGTGAAGTGTATTATTATTCTCCTTTCTTATGCTATTAACAAGATATATGAATAAAGGTAAACCATTGTTAGTATGAAATTGATTGTGTCCTTTTTTTTTGGATAAATTGAAATCGATTGTGTCACCTAACTAGAAACAGCACTCAATATATCGTCGCTACTGTTTCATGTAAAAAGTGAAGTTTGCTTTGTGCTCACAGCTTAGCTGTTTTTACTGCTAGTATGTCCTTGATGGTTTATTCCAATTCCTGTTAATATCTATTATTCGTTATTTGTCATTCATGCTGGTCTTGAAACCATAATCATTTATGATTTGACTTACACAATCTGCATTTCTTGCTAGAGATCCGGTTGTAAAATACAAACTAAGATGTTGTCTTGATCTTCTTACAGCTCCTGATAAACAAGGTAAAACAACATAGACACAAACATGCTTGGCGGATTGACTTGCTGCTCATACCAGCATATGTATCGTTTTGGTAAGTTCCATTGTGGCTTTTATTTGTTTGTGGTGCTGAGAATGTGCAGAAACGGGGCATTTACAGGCCTTGAACGGCAGAATGTTCATCAATTGTTAGAAAAATCTTCATTTAGAAGACCTTGTTATGGAAGCCAATCTGGTTTTCTGATGTCAAGTCCTTGTATCGAACTGTGTTGTATTTATCAAAGCTTGTAATGAGAATTAGTGCAGTCAAGACTTAAGATCGTAATAAATTAGAAACGCAACGAGCTCTTTGTAATATTTTTATTCTTATTGTTTTCTTTTGGTGAACAAAGAACTTTTATAAACTGCAAAATATGCATCTTCCAGAAATAACAACGAGCCTTTTGTGCATCAGCATGGAAGTTGCCGGCTACGGTTCTGGTTACCCGGTCAACCTTCTAACGGCCTCCAGCTCCATAGAAGAAGAAAAAGAAAGCGGAAGAAATATGTGAGGGAGGAAATCTGGGGCTTCAAGCCATACAATTTTAATCACCGTCGCCAATTCCACAGCTTATTCCACCCTTCGCTGCGTGTATCAAGAAAGAAAGCATAACAGAACCCAAGATAAGATACTTTGAGATTGATCCATAAACAGAAAATCATTGTGGAAAAATTTGGAATGACTTTCAGCCCAATCCAAGTCTATACTTCATAGCATAAAAGTGACCTTAGGGGTATAAAATTACTTCCAAGACAAGTGAACTCTTTTTATTTTGATTATAAATTTCAAATATAGTTTTATTTGTATAATATTGAGTTTTAAATAACATCATTTTATATATTTTTTGTATTTAGTAGTTTACACTATAAAAATGTTATATTTTTACGATACAATTCAAATTATATTCTTTGGATAACATTTTTTAAGAAAATATTACTAAGGCCTTATATAATATATATTTTTTGGAATCAAATTCTTATATAGTATTGTTAAATCTATATAATGCTATTAAATCATAAAGAGAATGTATTACAATTAACTTTTTTTATTAGCATAAATTAAAAAATGATTAAGACCAACTATATAGTAATTATGAAATAATAAAATGATAAATGGCACAGAAGATATTCTTTGAATTGCAATTTAGTTCAAAGGGGTAATTTTTAAATTTCATAAGATAAAAATAATATGCAATTAAATAAATAATATGGTACAAAATGAGGTACAAAAGAAAAAATGAAAAAAAAAAAAGGTTTCATAAATGAATGTTAGGGAAAAAATGGTATTTTTTAAAGAAACAATAAATTTTAATTGAAAAAAGCTTAAAAAAAGTTTCCAAGCAAAACCCAAAAAAATGAGAATAAAAAATCTAACAATTACTCCTTTTTTTTTTTTTTTTTTTGCGCCGGCAAAAGATTGATTTTATTTCATTATAAAAAAAATTACAAACACTAATGAATATGAGATTGAAACCATGTAGACAATGTTTTTACAGTCATAAAAATATTCATAATCATATACGGACTACTATATTCCATACATGGTCAATGAAATTTTTAAACTTTAAGATTAAAATATTGTCATATATATTTTTATTTATTATATTATTTTATTAATAATTTTAAATATATTCTAATAAAGTATACGATAAATTTTATTTTTACAAATGAAATTTAAAAATAGCCAATGGTCTATAAGATTTTCCAATGATATATACAATAATAAAATCACATATATTATTTATGTGCATTTATCCAAAAAAAAAAGTACTTAAAAATACAAATGAATCAAAATGGACTTATGGTTTTTTTTTTTTTCTCATGTTCTTTAATCAAAATGGATTTATGGTTTTTTTTCCTCATATTCTTTGCCAGAATAGTTGGAAAATGATTGTTATGGTACGGTCAATCTGTTGGTTAGAAGAATAATTTTAGCAATTTATTTCTGTTCAAGGATTAAGCCACCTAACAAGTTTATGCTCTTTGTGAGGCTGAGGCCTAATAAAATCATGAGTTGTTTATTTAATTCTCTAGTTAGGAAGTAAAATGATGATGTAAATTCTTTAAATATAGAAGTTTCTAGAACTTTCTCATCTTTCAAAAATCTGGACAGTAAAACCCAGAAAAATGATTTGCACAACATGAACGTGCTCGTTACACTATTTTTTTTCCCAATTATGTTTTAGTTATTTTTTTTATACATGTAAAAAATTTAAACTCGTATTAATTTTTTATTTGAAAAAAATGAACCGTATCTATATATTTAGTTAAGGGAATTCATAGACACTCCCATTAGAAGAAAAAAGTTTTTTTTTTAAATACTTTTTTTATTGACAAAATTAATAAATTTGTTAATAATTTATATATATATATATATATATATATTATAAATGAACACTTAAAAAAAATTTTAAATCTACTACTAAATTAATAAGTATTGATATTTAAAATTTGAACTTGTTCAATTATACTTTTTAAAATTTACTCTATGAATTAATTCAATTAAGATTGATGTTTTAAATGGCAAGCCATTTTCTCTTATGTAAAACTGCTTTTAAAAATATTCTTTTTATAGTTTATAATTGTAATAATAGTGCCTCACATTCTTAACTGTAAATTTGTTTGTATTTTTAAAATAGATGTCTAATCAAGTAAGAAATGGTTCATAAACATAAATTTCGAAACCCTAATCCAATGAGATCTCCGTATCTTATTAAGTTCTTTAACCAATACAGTAATTTGGGTAGTTGCAGAAGTAATTCTATTCAAATATAGTAATTAGGGTAGTTGCAGGAGTAATTCTATAATTTTTGGAGTTTTAAAAAATCATAAAACTTAATCATCATCAAATCTTTTATTTATTTTACTAATTTATTAATTATTTTTTGTTTAGAAATATAATATTGATGCAAATGACATTAATCCTTGAATAAAAAATTCAAATGGCATTCCTTGTAAGTGAAAATTTTATTTTCGAATATTATAACAGTCAAATTTTGTCAATCTTTTTTTCTCTAAGAAGAAAGATTTTTAATTTTTTTTTTGTTACATTAGGATGACAAAATCCTAGTACAAATAAGGAAAAGAGAGAGGTCTGATTCGAAATCAGATCCTTGATATTTTCTTAAGCGTTTTTAGTCACTAGATCAAAAGTTTGGAGACAAAATTTTTAATTATTATATTTTATCATTATTATTTTTTGGATAAAACATTTAATCCCTGAACTCTTCACCATGATCTACTTATTTTGGTCAGAAACAAAAGATAAATGTTCAATGATTTATGTAATATTTCAAGTATCTTTGCCTTTAATCTTCTAATCTATACAAAAGGGATAAATATTCATAAAGGAAATTAACGATCATCTTGTTATTTATCATGCTACACGACTAGTTACTATATTAATTCATAGGAGAATGAGCAAATATAAAAGTAAAATAAATAAAATAAAATAAAAAAAGAAAGAAAAAAAGATATCAATGCTAATAATAAGATGGCGACTTTTCTTTTTTCTTTATTTATTTTTCTACTGACAAGCAAATAAATAAAGGGAGTTGGTCATGAGTAGAATATTAAATTTATAGTACCAAAATATGTTCCAAATGATAGATTTATTGATTAATTATTAATATTATTTAAAATCAATAAATATTAGGGTAGTTGCTATAGTAATTCCATCTAAATTCCGCGTTGCTATTACTGCAAATTCCAAAAATCTCAAATAATTTCCCATAAATATATGCAGAGTAGTAGTTGGGTTGGTGCCTCAAAGTTTACTGTCCTCACCTTCTAATTTGAGATTTTTCAGTGAAAATTATACACTATGGCCCAACAGCCCTGGATCTTTAAATAATAATAATAATAATAATAATAATAATAATAATAATACAAAAAAAAATGAGATTCATAATCAAGAATCCACAAGGATTTAATCTAATAATTTGAATTTAAATTTTTGGGGAGTATTTTAAAAATAAAATTTTTAGTGTTTCAAGTAGAATTAAAAAGTGAATCCTTAAAATTGTTTGAAAATAAATTAAGTTTACACAAAATTAATCTATTAATACAGTTGATCATATTAAAAAACATTAGGATTAGAAATGGTTAAATCATATATATATTCATAAAAAATATATGTGAATTTATTTAATTTGTACCAACAACAAAAAAAAAGTGTTAGGGTTCTTATGGTGCACGATGCTTTAGTGACGTTGCAACAAATCGTCACGTGAAAACCGTAGCTTTAAACTTTTACTATACAACAGCAAATTCATTAAAGTCCAACGTCAACAAGAAACCAATAATAATTGAATAAAAACTGGTTGGTAAAATTTTATTATATACTTGTTTTCTTCATCTTCTATCCAATTAAATTTCTTAGTTCAGGTTGTTCATCAAGTTCTTTCCCCAACTCATTTTTTGTCAGTATAATTTAAATGCATGCAAACATTAAAGAATTATTTAATATTAGATAAAGAATTTAAGAAGATTAAAGAAGACATTTTTCTGACATATATGGAGTTAAAAGGAAGTTACTTTTAGAAATTACAACAGCTGTGAATGCCATCTATATATGATGCAAGGCCAGATTTTTTTTTAATTTATTAGAATTTAAATTTTGATCATAAAAATTAAGAGTTTAATATTTTATCAATAAATTATGCAATTGTTGACTTTTTTTTTTATTTGAAGAAAACATATTCAAAATCCCTATTTTTTAGAAAAGAAATATATACGTTAACGAAACATATTATTCATTATATTACTTTTGTCTTAAATATTTATATTTTGATATGACATATCTATTGATTTAATTGTAACATCTCATTTTTTGAATTAGTTGATTACCCACGAATCGATAGATCACATCTTTAAATTTATCAGATAACTACATGTCATATTACAAGAGTACAAAAATTTAAACAATATTGATAAGATAAGTAGCATGACTCATTCACAAACCATTGAGTCAAATACTCAAGTGGGGCAGATTATGGTTTAGATGACTTAAATATAATTAATTTGTTTTGGTCTTATAAATATATATATTTATAGTTATCTTGTTGAAGCCAATGAGATTAAATGAGTTTCACTATGAGGAAATTTGACTTTTTTTTTTTTTTTGAAATAACGTTATTTATACTAAGATTATTTAGATAGTAAGGCTTTTTTTTTTTTAAATTTCCATCCCTTTAAAGCAAGTTCAATTAGCATGTTAATATAGCTAGGGTAATTAGATATATATATTTATTTATTGATTATGGTGTTTTATATACTGTCATGATGAGCCATTAATT